GCTAATACCACACATTTATCTATTTTATCTGACCTAAAATGTGAAGGCCACCTGTACACAGTTTATAGTCTGAAAAAAGTCACAAACACTGAGTACTGAAACCTTTCATGAGCTACTAGAAACTTCCATGTGTAAGAACAGACTTCTCTCAGTCACACCATCCCATAAACCATGGTGAATAAAACCAGACCTTTAGGATGCTTTACAGACAGTCTGAACGCCTACCGTAGGGTGGATTATCAAAACTAGAGATTCCACACCTACATGAGCAATGGCTTACCTTCAACTCAACCACAGGAAGAGGTTCCTAATAGCATACCTGTTTCCATCAGCTTTGGTTAAAGATGATGACAGTTCTTCAGATGTTAACTGCCAACTATCTACTGATAATCAAAGTTACTTTTCCTTTGCAATATTTTTTTCCACTATTTGGTATTTATTCGGTATTTATTCGGTGAAATCTGCACTACCTCTTAGTTCAATCCATCATCCAGTACCTGAAAACAGACAACTTTTAAGTCAACTTTAAGAAGAAAATAATTATTCAGCGTATTTTATTCATCCCACTAGTGCAACTTTTACCAAGAGCATACAGTGTATGTTCTGAGTTTGAGAATCTCATTCGAGTGCAGAAATAATTTCACCACAACAGCCCACATACCTACTACCCAAAGAACACAGCATTTAGTTAATATGTTTGAGAGCATTTGTTTTGTCAGCAAACCTGTGCTACTCTGAGAAGTAGCATATCAAAATAGTGCAGCAGGGAAGGATGCTGAAGGACTGAATTGCCTCACACCGAAAAGAAATAAATCCTTGCAGAATGAAATGATGCAGTGGTGCTCAGAAAAGCCCTTAAATCTGATACCGCAGATGTGAAATAGGACAACCTTTGTAGAAATGCCCTTTTCCAGAAACAGGCCCTTCTTTTTGCAATAATCTGGACAATAAAGTAAAGCTAGCAAGTTTCCTCTGCTACCAGAACAGGATGTTCTACCTTTATTGGAGTGGCTGTTCCATGGAAGAAGCCAGTTGTGTGAGAAACCTGCCCGGATAACAAATGCATCCAGGACAACGGGAGGGTGCTAGAGGCTTCTTCATCTCTCTTGAATTTTTGGTGGGGAAGTGTCTAGACAGGCTTCCAAATTTTCTCATTCCAAATCCAGAACCTTTCCAAATAATCAGGTTTTTCTTGCAATCCATCCACACCCACAAGAACTTTACACAGACATGTTCTTTATAAAAGAGAGGGTCCTGAGGTGACCCGTTCTTGACACAGGCAACAGTTCTTCTGTTGAGAGATTGTACTTTGAGGAAAATAGACTACACAAAATGCCTTATGTTGATACAGTGAATATTGACTTATTGTGAAACAAATATTCCACATATACATGGATGTGTGTTAACAGCATATTACACAAGGTTACACTTGGGGATTATTCTTCCTCCTACTCAGTATTTTACAGCAATTTCCTCAGAGATCAGCCACTTCATATTTTGGATTATGAAGTCTGCTATAGATACAGCTATATTAGAGATAGGACAAAACCACACATTTTACACAAATTGAGAGCTATAGCCGAACTCTCCAAACATTTGAGATGTCAGCGTATGCGGGTGTTTCAAAAAGCTTTATTATTTCAAGTTCAGGGCCAGCTGCAGAGAATGGATTCACATCCAGACACATATATTAAAATGCATACACTTCTTGACAGAAAGAAGTTTCAGAACCTGGCAGGCTGAGAACAACACTCTTTTTGTGTGCTGCCTGACAATTCATTTACAGATCAACCCTATTGTTTTTTTGGTAATTTAAATATGATTACTGGCAAAGGAGGAAGAGGTGGGGGAGTTCCAGAGCAAGGGACATAATGAAAAAGAAGAAAGAATTTCTGGTTGTACAATATATCCCTGACACATCATTACACACAAACTCAAAATTTAGCTTTTAAAAAAGAAAGGGGGGAAAGAAAAATAACAAAACAAAACAATAAAAGAAACAGCAGCTGTTTCTACGTGATGTCAGAGAACAGGTGTGATACAAATCTCCATACCAGCGCAATCATATTGATCGCCCAATGATGCACGCATGAAGCACATGTGCAAACATTATTGACCCATCCGGCATCTCATTTCCAGGAATATGGCCTGAAAATGCCTCTCTAATAGTTGAAAACATTTTCAGGATAAACACCATATTGGCCAATTTTGGAAGAGAAAGAAAGAAAGAAAGAAAGAAAGAAAGAAAGAAAGAAAGAAAGAAAGAAAGAAAGAAAGAAAG